TTTTTTTTCTTTGGTTTAGAAGGGGATAAGAGACTATCTAATAGTGAGCAGATACTGGTAAATGATAAGGGATGTTAATCATGGATCTCTGCTTGTATGGCTTGTATTAGTTCTGTAAATAAATTAAAATTTTCAATTGTCAAGTGTTACTTACAAAAATCTAAATTCAAATAATGAAAGAACATTTTTTTTTATATAACTGTTTACTATATATACATATATATATTTAAAAAAAAAAAATGAAAAGTATCCAATGATCTACCGCTCCTCCTCATCAACTTATAAGATCCTGCTTTTCTTTTCTCCTTCACATTGACTTAAGCTGCTTCATGCTTATCTTCATACAGATACACATTCTTTTTTTAAATGGTAATCCTAATCACAAGCAAAGAAATTTTTGGTTGCCGGGCCGACTTCGCAACCTCACTGCTTAAGTTCTAAATATAATATTAGTTTATAACATATTTTTGGATGATGGTATCAAAATTATATAAAATACTATAATAAATAAGAAAAACTTACTGTATCTAGAGTATGTTAGTGTTTCATGGTTAACTAAAACTCTGCCATCATATAAAAATCAAACCCATGTTTTATACCATTCAATATATTATGATGTAGGGCAAATTTTTCTTTCCCCTGTGTAACTTTAAAAAATTTCAAGTATAAAATATTTCTGGAAAGCATTGTTTTAACTAATTAGTGCTCCCAGCTGCCTCAAGTGTGGGGATAGCAGGCATGAAAGAAGAGGAATATTCGAGGAATTCATTCTGTGGCTCAGCTCTGTTGATGGCGTTATTTTGAAGGTTTAGTTTTGATTTTATTATATTCTTATTTCCCCTTTAGATTTTAGTTATAAAAAATCTGGTTGTAATTTATATATCTACTAAAAAATAATTAATAAATATATTTTTCTTATCTTCAATCTGTGTAAGTATATATACAAAACTGCTAGCTCTATTAAGAAAATATTTCAATGAGTAACAACTTCTTAAAATTAGGGTTCTGATTTGAAGTAACTATGTTTTTTAAGTACAGATATTTATTGAATCAGAACATCGCAAGTTCGACCAATTATGTAAATGGAGAATTCCTCGATCCTCCGATGTGATAATTAACTTAAAAAATAACAATACTTACTTTGTATCTTATTTACTAAGTAAAAGGCAACAAAAATACTTAAACCTTAATTAGATATATAATTAATTTGAATTTAAACTAGTATTGCATTTAAACTTTTATCACATTCATATAATATTGCTTAAGACTCATTTCCTTCTCCTTTATTTTTCTTTACCAAGACAACTTCGGCTTTAAAGCCACACAAGAAAAGTCCTGTGTACTGCATGGCTATAAGAAGTAATTAATGTTCCTGTTCCCATATGATTTTAAAGAGTAGTTGAAGAAAAGTAGCAACACAGATGCTCCTTCTAGCCCAGAAAATAGGTTAAATCAGCCCTTGATCATAGTTCCGAAGCCTCATAAGTAACCCTATAAGGTTGTATTAGTTATTACAATTATTTACCAGGAGCTAGTAGAAGAAACTAAAAGGGTTTCTACCTCAACCAGCTGGTGGTGCAATGCTAATTCGCTCGGGACCAACCTCATCCTTTGAATACTCATTACTCTCGCACTGGCATTTGTCGTCAAATCCCCACAATTTTGCAGCTTTTATATCATCTTCAACCATTAACTTGGAGAACTCTTCGTGATCATACTGTAAATTGGCTTTTCCTCCAAATTCGGTTGGAAGATTCTGCTCGTCAAAATATGATCTCATCACCTCCATACTGTCTTTGTTCTTTGGATACACAAATTTCACCTTCTGGAAAGTTTTAGTATCAAGGAAATACTTGACAATCTGCAGTTGTATGAACAGAGCAGATTAATGTAGCTCAACCATAACTCTTTGAAAGTGAAAATCATATTGAATAGACTCTTACAAAAGATTGAAGAGATGAAGGACATTAAAATGTTAACCGAGATATGAGTATAGCAAATTATTATAGAAGCTAGTAGTCCCAAAGGGTGAACTGATAGTAGCGGCATATCATGCTAAAAGATTTGAGAATCATTGCATATACCATTACGTAAGGATTAGAGAGTAAGATTCAGTATGTTCAATCATTATTAACCACTCAGCAGGAAAACGATCCACTAATCTCTTGTGTGCATTTATGAATCAAATTGCAGGCTGAAAAAGAAGAACGCAAACCTTCCAGAATGCTTCAAAAATCCGAGGGGGGTTGTACAAAAATGCTACGGCTAGCCTCTCAGGGTAGTGACTTTGTAAAATATTGACAGTATCTTTAGCTGATTTGACGGGTACACTGGTGCTCAATGTCCATCCACTGAAGTCTATCAACCATGACATCTGTTCTTGACCTTCTGGAAGATTTAGGATAGCATTCTCTATGAGGTAAACCAGATGTCTCATTTGATTGTCTATGGATTTTGTGTTCTGAAATATTTGTGTGATCATGCCATTTCGATGACATTGACACCCCAAGATAAAGGAGAAGTAACAGTGTTAATTATAAAACTGATAAAGTTGAAAGAATCGAAAACAGGACTGAACTAAAGATAGAACCTGCAGCCCTGGTTTCAAGATAAGAACAGTCCTTCCATTTCGGTCACGGAAGCTTGCTCTGTATAATTTTCCTGTCTCTCCTTCAACTGCAACTTCATGCTGAAAACAGAATATCAACAATTTTCATGAGAATTTCACTCACCAAACCCCGAAAGATTTCTAACTTCCAAATTTAAAAAAGAAACCCAACAGAGTGAAATTTCATTTTTCAGCAGAATATGGAGGAGCATTTTATCCAACCTACCCAGCGGATTTCCTCAGGCTTATAGGCTGATCTCCATTTAAGTGTCTCTTCCAACATCTTCTTTGATTTGTCCATATTCCAGTTACGAGCTTCCAAATATCTCCTCAGGCATGCGTCTGTACAGTATTGTAAAGCACGCCCAGATAGTGGTCCCATTGCAGGCCTAAGCTCTTTGATCTGCTAGCGAAGTACAACAGACAATGGTCACATATCTTAACTACAACTATCTATTTTATCCTAAACACATCTTTGTCATTGATTCACGGTCCTAATCAGGATGAAATGGTTGGTGAAATAGAGAGATCCAGATAAACTTGAAGGGGGAAACTGATGCAATCAAAAGTAAAATTTTTATACAGCATCTCTCAACTAATTACCTTTGATTGCACTTGATCATTCTTCTGATCGTGATGAGAATTACTCCGAAGACGAAACATCATGAATGATATCACAGTCTCTTGCCGCCACAAGCAACCTTAAATACTAAATATTGCGCAGCAACATCTCAGTCATTTTTTCTCATTACTGATGACACAAATTACTGCTTTTATAAAAATGCATACGCACGGGAAAACCTATAACTGTAAAAATTATTCTACTCGGGTGAGTTCCGATACATTACCTACAAATAGTGATTATTACTCTAATTACTGAGTCCATTTTCAATAGGGTGTAAAAGAAACCAAAGATAGTACTAAGTTCAATCCAAAAGACTATATCATAAGCAGGCAATAAAACATAATTTCAAGCATGTTAGACTCAACTGCTAAAAGTGGCGTAACAAGGAAAAAGTTGCAAAAAGAAAAAATTGCAGCAAGCAAAGGTTTTTCAAGCAATGAAGTCTGAATATTTTGGTAAAATAACATGACTAGAAGCTTGAAGATGACGAATTACAGTCCCAACATAGTAGAATTTATACTCAATTGATTCACTTGCAAATAAAAGATGCTAACAAGCCCAAGCTCCTGATTTGGAGCCATGTAGAACTGAACCTGGATTCATAGAATCCACTTTCATACAACTAAATATCACTATAAATCTCCTGATATCACATCCCCCTACATGCTTTTTTGTCTTTAATTAAGCACAAGTCTTGCTATTTCCTCAATATCCACCAACAGGTTTGCCATAAAAGTGGAAATAAATAGAAATGGGTATCACGCAAATTTATTGTTCCATCAATCAGAAGATGATGAAAATTCAACTACCAACAAACAACCATCCTACTCACCAAGAAAGCATGACTACAAAATTAACTAAGATGACAAGGGAGTAGCCCAAAAGGGAGAATACACCCCCCTCCCCACAAGAAAAGTCTAATTTCACATCAAGGGGAAATTCCAGAGTTCATTTGCAAGTAAATTTGCTCAATATCTGCACTGTAATACAAAAGGGTAGAATAAACCAAAAGCGGTCAATGCGTAAACCGCTCTAAAAAAGAAAAGACTTGTTTCTTGTAAACAAGTAGAATCGTTACCTTACGAGTCCCTTAGAGAAGACGCAGAACAACAAATGGACCCTTTCAACCTCCCTATATGTGTGTGTGTGTGTGTGTGTGTGTGTATTCCCGGAACTTGAAAGAAAAAAAAAACTATACAGATTGAACACATTAGTATAGAGTAAATCACAGAGTGGAGCCTTGAAATGAATCTAATGAAACAGCGAAAGAAAGCAAAGGACTTAGCTGAAAATTTATTAACAGACGAGCATACCCAGTTAAAAGCGAGCGAGAGAAAACGCCCGCAGACACTGAACCCCTACTGGAGGGAAAGAAGGTGATCAGGAAAAGGGAGGAAGGAGAGAGAGAATGGCAAAAGCCATGAAAGAAAGAAAACGAAAGGAGGAGTTAAAAGTTGTGTTGTTGGCTCTTATATGCGTCTCCACCTAGTGTACTTTTATCGTGTGGACGTATGTGATTGCGTTATATATATATATATTATTATTCATTGGCAATGTTGCAGGAGTCGTACGTCTTGTATCAGCATTTAGGGCAGACCGCCAGCATTACCGAACAGTTCTTTCCTTCTTTGCAATTGAATACTCGTAATCCGCCCTGTACACGTGCAGTCCTACGGATTCTTTCACTTCGAGATCCTCTGTGTAAAATTACGATTACCCAAAAAACTCTTTATATATATATATAATATATATTTCCACTTAATTCAATTCTCTTATCTCTGTTCTCAATTCTCATCAGCCTTTTCAAGCATCCCTTTGTTCCCCAGTTGTGCAGGAATACAGAGAATTTTAGTTTAGCTACAAAAATTTTTTGTTTTCTTATTTCTCAATATAAGTCAAACTGAATTACAGTTACACACAATTAGTCAATATAAACACAACAAAATCGCTCCAAAAAATTTTAAGTTCAATATGTATACTACAAATCGATAAATACCCATTATTCAATACAACATAAAATTTATTTATATATATATATGTGTGTGTGTGTATTTTAAATGTATTTATATATATATATATTAATTGAGTAACTAAGTACAAAATGAAAGTCACATAAATTTTTCTCGAACTTGGTTTAAAAATTTTTGCTGTCGATAATTAATTTCAAGAGAGACGGATTGAGTTCCTGGTAAGCATCCCTGTTGATTTTGCTTCCGAGAATCTCAATAATATCGATTTTTTTTAAAAAAAAAATTAAAATTTTTCTGTATTTATTTAATTTTTCTCATTTTCTGTGTATGAAAAGTTACATAGAATTATTTTCAAGAAATTAATTATGAACTATTAATTTTTCTCCAATATACATTATATAGTTTCCAAAGAGTAAAGTAAAAAGGTGAACTTTGTCAGGATAAGTTTTTCCTTCAAGAAAATTAATTTATTAATTACCTAAAAAAGTACAAACTAAATTTACTAATTCATTAAAAATGCAATAACAAATTGACAAAATTTGAACATAAAATCAATATTTCATATCCCTAGTTATCGTATCATCAAATAATGTACCTTTAGTATATATGAAAAATTTACTATGTATAAATTATAAATGAATTAGTCTAGTAGCTTAAGAATTAGCTCGAAGAATCACAATACGGCTGGAAAACTTAATGTTGTGCAGTTCGTAATTTTTTGTAACTATAATTTTTGAAAAATTCATAATTTTTTTTAATTTTTATTTAAATCATATAATTTTGATGTACAAAAAAAGTTTATTAAAAATAACACGAATAAAATTTTAATTATAATCTAAATCATAGCAGATCAAATTTTAATTTAGGGTTAAGGAGACTCGAATTCTTGTTGGAATTTCATAATTTTTCTAAATTAATTTATAGGTATAAAAAGTGGTTCTTCACGTTTTAACAAAACCTTAATATACTCTTTCTTTATTTATGAAATGACATTCTTACTTATTGTATTAAAATTGGTCTTTTAAAATAATTGTGTTATTATTATTTTTTCTTTATTTGGACCAGGTATTACAATTTCAAATTATGACAAACTTAAAATTATATTTTATAGTCAATATTTAAATACACTTTAATTTGGAGATTTATTTAACGTCATCAAAATGATACACCAACCATGTTGGTTAATGACATTAAAATAAATTTTAATAGAATACACTTATATGGATCAAATAATAAATTAAATTTATTATTATAAAAGAATGTGAAGATAAACAAATATACAAATTATAAAATGATTTAGTACTAGAAAAAAGTTACTTTTTAACAGGTGATGATTAAAATGGGAAAAGAAAAAAAGTTTTCATTGAGTCCAACTCATTCATGCTCAAAAGTGGAAATAATAATCAACCTAAGAATTTACTTCAAAGATTTGTTATATTTTTAGGTAAAAATAATACTCTGAGAAAAAAATAAAAAGATATTATGATGCGAATAAGATTTGATGGAGTAGGAAGAGGCATCAGATTCGAACACTACAAGGAGGAAAGCGGCAGGAACAAGATGTAAGTCTCCAATTGGAGGGCCAATAAAGACAACAGTGTTTTCTTAATACAGCTCTGAGATTCACTTCAAAATTTACAAGCATCAAAATAATAATATTCTAAACCTAAATTATATATTTTTATTCTTACCGTTTGACATTAATGTCATATTATTTTATACGACATAAATTGCAACCATATAAATTCTTGAATTTCAGCACTCGAAACAATGTGTGTGTGTGTATTTATAACTTCTTGAATTTCAGCACTTGAAACAATATATGTGTGTGTGTGTGTGTATTTATAACTTCATGGATCAACCTTAATTCAATTCCCATTAGTAAAGGGCATTAATTGCAAGAAGAGAACCCAGAAGACCAAAAAGGAATTGGATCCTTCATACGCGTCTCACCAATGTTGAAAAGTAAGATTCTGGGACCAACATGCAAAGTGGATTGAATCTAGCTAAAACGAAAACTGAGGTTCTTAAAAGAACCACATTAGAGTGAGTGTTTTCAAAGAGATTTTACAAGAGAAAATAAATTCAGAGAATGAGAAAGAGGTAGAGGGAGATAGATAAATAAGGATTCAATAAATAATTCCATCTCAATGATACAAACCAAAACAAAAAATGAAAAATTTAAAAAATAAAAATAAAAACTCACGTACTTAAAGATAGTAACATATGAAAAAAATAAATCAGATAAGAGATAGTTCTTAAGATGTGGAAGATAGTAACATATGACAAAAATAAATCAGATCAGAGATAGTTCTTAAGATGTGGATAAGCTTGAAGTTGATGACATCAAAGTGGATAAGAGAAATAGAAAAAGGGAGATAAATACCTCAGGATTCAAAGAATAATTCGATTTCAATGGTAAAGGAAAAACTCGAAGTTAATGACATTGTAGTAAAAATGAGACAGAGAAAAAGAGAGATTAATAAGTTAGTACTCACAAACAATTTTATCTTAACGACACAACAAAAATAAGAAAGACAATAACATATACAAGAATATGTACATGCAGTAATAACATATGCAAGAACCAGTGGAAAAGAGAAAGGGAAAGATGGAGATAGATACTTTCGGATTCAAAGAATAATTATATCTCAATAGAACAAAATAAGTAAGAACATATTAATTTTAACAAAAGCCTATCCCAACCTCTACTTCATTTTGGTGAAACTAAGGCTTACTAATCTAAAGATGTGTTTAGCTTAGTAGACCACCTTCAAGTAAAATATCATGGAGTTCAAGAGCAAAAACATAATTTAATACACAAGCTGCCAAGCAATTTCACTGCCAAAGCAGTTGCAGTAAGTCTGGTTAATTACTCGAATTGTCACGTGTAATTATCCGGGGATAACGCGTTTATTGAAAATGTACGTCAATCCAACCAAAGAAATCTATTGGAAATGTACATCAATCCAACCAAAGAAATTTGCCGGGCATGTAAAAAAGTAGTGGTATCGCAAGACTTGGTATCATTTGATGCATTAATCTTATGGAACCATGATTTACAAGCAAAAGAGTCAAACCCTATTTTTCTTATGTGCTTTTTCATTTCTTTTCTTGGATAGAGCGTTTAAAATTGAATCCATCATTCCTATGCTTGAAAATCAGCAAGTAAAAACAAAATAGAAGCTCTTTAGTTAAAAATGTTGCATGGGAAGAAGAAACAAAGGGCGATATTTGATCTAGTGAGGAGAGAGTTTCAGTACTGGAATTATCAACAAAATATTAGGTGCTCGAATCTCTATAAAAAGATCGCAAAGGCTCAAAGAGACTAGCTGGAGCAAGGGATTTGGTTTTCTTTGTTGCAACAGAGAACTATAGAGTCTAGAAAGAGCTATATAAAGAGAGTCCTCAACATTTTTACATTGTTCTTAAACTAGTTGATTTACTCAAAACATACAAGAACCAAGAATCCTAAAAATCAAACAAAAACAAGTGAAGAATGCCCCCACAAAAAACTAATGCAACAAAAAAAAAAACTCTTCCCAAACATCATATCAATAAAGTGTAAACACTATAACTAATTTGCTGCCAGTACTGATAAGGACAAAGAGTCATAGTACTTGTTTTTGCTCATATTTCTTCAAGTAAAGATTATAATTTCACTCCATCAAACTCTAAGAAGTACATTGATATATTTCTAATTTCTCCCAGAAAATGCAAGCTTTACCAGACTTCTTGACCAGCTACTAGGATGGCAAAGGTCTGATACATCAATCAAAACCTCAAATCTTTTAAACTCCTCACTGTTTAAATTACTCTTGACTTTGTAATATTAACTCACCACTTAACTCTTAATCCTTAAACTTGCCTAGAGATAATCTTTTATTGCAAGATGCTCCATTATCGATGTACTGTTATACATTAATAGAACAAGATGCCTAAAACAACGCAATACAGAAAATAATGAAAAATTAAGCTGTCCTAATGGAATGAAGCAGTTGAAATCTGTTAAATACCAGCAGTTGACTCCATTAGAGCATATAATTTTAGTATACTTCAAAAAGGGTAGCGAGGGGAAGAGTTTTGGGAAGTCTTGATATAAACCCATACTACCTTTCTCATGATGATTTTGACATTGAAGTCTTTCTTAACTTGATTTGTTCAGATCCCAATACCTCCTAAACTGGTGTTTCCTCATAGAAACAAGCACCAATAGAAAGAGCAAGCAAGCGCTTGTTAGACATATATTAATAGGATAAAATACTAACACATGAATAAGAT